TCGCGGCCGGCTGCGCGGCGGGAGCTGGGAAGGGCGCTCCTGGCGCCGCGGTCCCCGGGGCCGGGCGGCTGAAGCAGATACACAGATTACACTTTTGCAGGCTCCCGCGAGTAGGACGGGGCGGGAGGGGGGCTGGGAGCTGCCGGTGCGCAGCACTTCTCTTCCTCTCCCCTTTCTCTCCGCAGTCAGAGTTACAAGCTTATATGGTCAAAGAAAAAAAAATTAAAAAAAGAAAACGTATAAAATAACAATAGAAAAAATAATACTTCTGGGAGAGGCGCCGCTGCGGCTCCGCGGAGCTTTCGTTCTTTTTAAATGCAGTTTCCCTTCTGCCACGTGAGTACCGCCTTTTGGCCAAGAGTTTAGCCGCGTCCTGGGGGAGCTGCCCGGGCGGTCAGGGTCGCGGCCGGGGGCGGGGCTCTGGAGCGCTGCGTGTGCCTAGGACCCAGGGGACAATATTGGGGTGGGGGAAGGTCCCGAGCGCCTCTCCCGCTGCCCGCCAGAGTCCTTCAGGCTTCTGGTCCCTCTGCCGGAGAAGGCGGCGTAGCCCGGGGTCCTGGTGACCCGGAGGCTTTGTTTAGCATTTGATCTTGGAGGTTTTGAGCTCCTTCACCTGTGAGTGTAGCGTCTTGTGGACAGCGAGAGTCCTGGACTGGCAGAATCCTTTCCCACACTCTTGACACTTGAAAGGTTTCTCTTTGGAGTGAATATATCTGGGGGCAGAAACAGAGAATTACTCCTTGCAAAGTGATGCAATGTTATGAACAGTTGCTGAAGATTTCCCATTGCTATGGAGCGCTTACCCTCAAAGGGAAAGGGGCTTGTGGGGTACCCAGTAAGGATGAAGCAAAATACTGAGTTTGAGGATGGAGGTGAGAAGTGAAGCAGAGGCTTTGGCAACGTCTTTCTTTTTCGCAAACAGGTCCAGCGAAACAGCCTGCCTGCCTTCCTGAGGAGGAGGGGCAAGCTTGGCCTCCTTATAAGCCCTGAGTCCACACTGAAGGTGAGTCTAGGGAGCTGCCGGTGAGCCACTTGCTAGAGTTGCGCTGTCCAAAATGGAAACCATTAGCCCAGATGGTTATTAAAATTAAAATTACTTCAAATTAACTAAAACTAAAACTTCTGTTTTCAGGCACACACGTTGCACATTTCAAATGTTTAATTGTCACGTGTCACTTGTTGTATTTTCCCTTACACAGAAACTTCTATTGGACAGGCCTGCAGGGGCGGGGAGGTGTGGAGGAAGGTGGCTCAGGAACTGTGTTCCTCTGGAGCTTATAGAGATCTGACTTTGTCTTTGGTACTGTTCACCTCCACATTTTCTCCATCCATGCTCCAAAACCTATCTCTGGGTCTCCTACCTGATTTTAGGGAATTCCCTGGAGCTCAAGAGGCTTGGAGCCATGGGGTAGGGGCACTAAGGGGTCTCTTGTGAATCTCATTAGGGAGGAGGACAGTGGGGCAAGAAGTAGTCAGAAATCTCTCTTGGGCCACCCATAGTGCCGCACCTGTGGTCCCGTAGGTGGTCTTGCCTCCGGAAGGCTTTGTGGCAGATGTCACAGGTGTAGGGCCGCTCATCAGTGTGCGTCCGCTCATGGATAAGTAGGTTGTAAGACTTGGTGAAGTGCCGGCCACAGAACTTGCAGACAAACTCCTTCTTGGTCTTGGACGGTAGGCGTCCCCTTGTGGGCTTCTTTTCTGGGGACAGCTTGGTCACGTCCAGGAGGGCACCCAGCCCACCTGCAGGGGAGCCGGGACCCTCCACTCGGCCAAGCTTGGATGGATCTTCCTGCGTGGCAGCCAAGGCCAGATTAGCAAAATCAAAGCGTGGCTTGGTCTTGAGTGCTGGGCCGCTGCCTCCAGCGGTGATCTCGGGCTTGGGTTGGATGACATGAGGGAACCAGGGAAAGGCAGGCAGCTGAAACCGTGCATCCACCAGGCTGGACACTGCACCCGGCACTTTGGAGAAAGAGGAGCGTGGCAAATGCATGGCCGGGTAGCCCAGCGTCCACTGGTGCAGGTGCACAGCGTGCAATGCACTAAAACCATACAGGTTGGGCAGGTGGTCCGAGGGCACTGTGGGCAGGCCATTCACTGCCTGTAGGAACGAGTAGTTAGTGAGCTGCAGGGATGGGTGGATGGGCACCGGTGCTGGCAAGGTTTTGCTGCCCATTTCGGCAGTTTTGGTGGCTTCTCAATTTCGATCTGCAAAGAAAGGAAGAAGGGAGGGGGCGGAAAAGAGAAGTTCAGGGTAGGTCGCCTCCCTCTTCCAGCCCAGCCCCACTCTCTTTCCCTGAGGGAAGGAAACCCCACCCACAGAACCCACCATCCTCACAAAGATGGGAACATAAGACACTGGGGAGTCCTCTTTTCAGAACCCTCCCTGGTCTGCAGGCTCCCTGCAAGTAGCCTCTGAAAGAGACACAAAACTTGATAGAAAAACTAGTAGGAAACTAAATCCTATGCCATTCAACCCACTTAAAAGAAGGCCCTACTGTATATAAGACGCTAAGAAAAGCACAAGCATAGGAAAACTGGCATGTAGAAACCGGCTGCCCAGCAAGCCTGGGCCAACACAGAATTATACTCTCCTGCAAAGGTAACAGGAGTTGGGGAGAACACTTACACATTCATGTGCAGGTAAACAAACACAGAAATGAACACTGACAGATAAACACAGATTCACACATTCTGAAGCAGAATTGATGAGGTACAACGGTACACTAGGACCACTAGAGTTTCATAGAACAGAACTGACTTGAAAATACAGGGCCTATGACACACTCACACACACACACACACACACACACACACACACAGGCTCACACTGCATCCATGAAGAGCCTCACAGACAACACACACACTCATGCGCACAAATTTGCACACCTCCTGGCTCCAGGGCATTAAGGTCTTCTGGCTGACCTTCAATATGGCTTTCAGTAGCCAAAGAGGCCATGTCATCTTTCTCCTCAGAATTCTCAACTTTGACCTTAAATTTTCTTTCCTGCTTTACTAATAGTGAACCCTATTGGTGCCACCCTCTCTGCAGCTGCTTGTAGAATTATCCCACTTTCCTTTCAAGGAGGATGCTGACACCCATTTTCATTTACTTAGCCACACAGTCTGCAGTCACACACTAGGGAGTTTCAGTGCCCTCATTCTCCCATAGGGGAGCAAGGTCTTGGGACTGTCAATATGTTCTTGTGCATAGTGAGCCTTGGGCAGGTAGGTATGCCTACAGGCAAGAGCACTGAGGCCAGGCTACCACTGCTGTAGTCTATGCACCCTCCAACTGCAAGGTCAGGAAGCTTGAGCAAGGCCAGAGGAAAACCACACTGAAGTGACCAAGGACTGGCATCTCTTGGCTTCCTGGGTCATGGTCTCCAGCCTCCATGGAGAGAAGTCAGGCTCCGCAAAGAAGTATTTCATCTCTACCCTCCCAGACACTCCTAACTTAAGTCTGTCCAGTGAAGGAAAGAACAGGTAGAAGGAAAGTCTAAAGTATCAGGGAAACTTGGGAGGCCCAAGCACTAAACTCCTGGCCCTCAATTTAGGGTTACTTAAATCATTGTCAAAGCAGGGTCCTTGGGTTTCTATCTCCTTTGCCCAGTCTCAATCCTCAGCTGCTGACTTCTTTCCTTACCGTGTCATTCCTCTCCTTTTCTTCCTCATTCTCTCCTCTAAACTGGAGTAATTCCCCTTCTCTGGGAGGCATAATAAGTCCCTGCTCTGCTTCCTAGTTTAAGGCATCCCCTCCCCAGATGATACACAGTCCCCAGCAAGGTCTCGGCCTTTCACTGCAGCGAGGCTCTAAAAGCCTGACTCTGTCCAAGGATGTGCAGCACCCGTTCCCCGGGAGAAGTGAGGACAATCCTGACCCGGAAAACCTTTTCCCCTGGAAGCTGGCAGGGAGGTCGCTGGCTGTGTGGTGGGCCATACAAACACCAAGAGTCTGCAGAGATTTGTCTGTGAAGGTTAAATTTGCACTCATGAACACCAAGTCTGACCACTGCAATGAATTCAGGTTCGGGCTAGCGGAGGCATATATGTGATGTTAACCGGTCTCTAAAGCAGAGCGTGGTCCCAACAGCAGAGCGATGGCCTCCGCACCCGACTTGTCTCCATCCGACTTCTTCTCCGAGCACGGGTCATGCCGGGAAGAAACCCAGAACATCTCAGAGCTCTGAGAGGAGGCCAAGCAAACCACTAACTGGTCCAGAGAGAAGGATAGACCCGTTTGGTGGAGAGCGGAGGAAAAGAAGGCTCACCAACTTCAAAGGTCGACCCGAACTTAGGCGAGAGGGGCGCTCTTTGATTTGCTGTCACCTCTTCTTCCCCTCCAGGCGCTGGAAATCAGATCCTTATCTCCAGGTCCCCAGAGCCCGTCAGGCGCCGCGAGGCCTCTGAGGCCAAACGAGTGACCATGGCGTCAGGGTTGTAGGCTGCACATGGGCCCGAACCCTCCGGGTGCTGAGGTGGGAGAACCCGCTAACCTCGCCAGGCTTTTCCTCACCCTCGCCCTAGGAGCGGAGAAGACCGGAGCGACCTTGGGCTCAGTAGGGGGCGGAGGCGGAGGTGCCTGTAGCCACGATGGCTCCTGGGAGCCAACCTTTCTGGGCTATCTGCCCTGTCTTGTTTTCCCCAACACTGTATTCATTTTTCTCAGGGCCCAGCCAGTTTCTTATTTTCTGCCGCATTCCGAGGCCCGGGCTCCCCAGGCTCACGCCAACGACTTTTCCCGGGAACGAAATTCGTTCGAAACGTGGCTCTTTGAGTTAGTATTAAGAATGCGCCGAAAGCACGATCCGGTTTCAGGCGGTCAACTAAGACAAAAACAGTCTCACTATGGCCTCTCCAGCCAGAGAGGATGAGCAAGCGTCCGGCCCCTCCGGCTCCCATTTCCCCAACCCCGGAACCCCAATGGGAACGCTTTCGATCTTTAAACACAAGAGAGTTAAACCAGGCCAGGCATCCATTCTTTAAGGAGCTGGGGCCTCGGGACTCCGGAGATGCGAGTGAGGGTCTCCATCTCTCACTGTAGACCCAATTTGCGCTCTGGATCGCGGATTTCTGAACGGCGCGGGCGCTCGTGTCCCTCGCGCGGTGGAGTGTCAATCACGGGTCTACACCCAGCCGTATGCCGGGCATTAATGAAGTGTGCATAGTCTATTAAAGTGGTTTATTTGGGGCTAATTGAGCGTGAGCGAGTTAACTGCTTGCATTAATGAGAACGAGAGCGAACTCTACGAGATTGCGCCTGGAGGAGCCCAGCAGCAACCCAAGAAAATCATCCTTGACATGGAATCCCCAAACGGATGGTGTCAGTCGTCCGGACCTCCATCGAGAGGACTGACCAGCACCTGATACTTCTGTAGCATTCTCCCAACGAATGAGACCTAATGAAGCCACCGGCGAGGCGGCCATCCCTGCACGTAAGTGCTTGCTGCGTCCTCAGCGATCTGCTCCCCAGTCTTAATGAAACCGTAATTACCTCAAGGAGTTGGGGACAGAACATCTCGCTGGTCGCAGAATGTCCCCTGCAGCCCTTCTCTTCCCTGGGAACCAGGAGACTAGCCTTGCATGTGTTTCTGTTTCCAAGAGCCAACGCGCAGCTCTTAGCCTAGGTGAAATTTACCAAATTTTGGCAACAAAGACACCCTCACAGCTACTTTACACTCCGAGAGCCCACCCACTCTTGCCTGAGCTGCTGAAAAATTACTGGAAGTGCTTTTCTATTTTTCTTGTCAGGGACGTTTCGGGGGAACATTAGTTCAGCAGGCAGCCCCTTGGCTCTCCCCCTCTCTCTTCAGGCTTCTACCTTGTCTCCTGATGGCCGGATTAGAAGATAGTTGGGGGAGCAAAAGAATCCTTCCTTTCCACTCCCCAGCCCGGAGGCAGCGCCTCTCCATCGAGTTTCCACTACTGTGGCATGCGGGTCTCGAACTGGGAAGCAGTGCTTGCGCCCCTCTGCATTGCCTCCCTGCACCGGGACTATCAAGGGTTACCCTCCAGGCCTTGACGGCACAGGGCAGTCATCCTATAGAGAATATCCCTAAATCAGAGAGCGAGCGCGAAGGCGGGGGTCAGACGCGTGGCCTTGCGCTCCAGGGTCTAGTCGGCCTCATACCGGAGTGCAACGCCTCAAACGACAAACTTGCACTAAAGCGCTACCGGCTGAGGCATGCACCTGTCCTGGCGCGGTCGGCGGCGGCTGAAACCGTCCACTCACTCTCGCTTCCTTCTTCACCAGCTAAGACGAGTCAGCCTGAGCTAGGAGCGCATCTCGGGAAAGTTTGTGCCCGCTGAAGTAGCTCTGGTTTCTTAACAGGGAGCCCGCAGACTGACTTCCAAACTCCGTGGGCACCTCGCCCAGGATTCCGCGGGGCCAGGCGGGCTGGCGGCAGCAGCGGAGGCCCGCCTCCTCATTCCCCCAGGTCAGAGACCGAGGACCCCGCGCGGAAAGTCCCTGAGCCAACACCCCCAGCCACCCTGCTCTTACTTTCACAAAGGTCCTGCAGCATTCGTTGGGCAAGAGCTTCCTTCGGGGACATTTAGAGAGAGAAGGCACCCGCGCGGTGACAAGGAACCCTGGAGTCCTGCCCGCATTCCCCTTGGAGAGCCCGGGCGCCCAGGGCAGCAGTTACCTTGTTCCGCGGCGGTCCCGGAGCTGAGCACGTCTCTGGGGTTTTCGCGAGAAGGACCCGGGAAGCCACAGGCGTTGGAGCCCACAAGCACCTCTGAAGCTCTAGAGTCCCGACCCGCCTCCGGCTGCGGGGACTCCGAGCGCCCGGCACGCGGGAGCACTCAGTAGCCGCTGGTCCCGCCCGCCGGGGATGGTGAGTCTCGCTCGCGGCTCCCTCGCTGGGGCTGAACCAGGAGCAGCTGAGAACGCGCAGGGGAGAGGCCGAGCTCCGACTCACTCATCCCTTAGCACCGAGCCGCCTACTTATTTTAATCCACCACCCTCCCTCCTCCCTCTCTCCCCCCACCCGCGCCTTGCCTCAGGATTCCTCCCCTCCCTCCCCTACCCCCCCAACCTTGCCCTGCGCCTGCGCACTGAGAGACAAAGTTTTGCTGACCCGGGCAGCAGACTTTGGCAGCTGCGTTCGCCCGGCCCCGGCTTCGCCCGACCCGCGTCCCCTCCTCTTAGACCCGCGCGACCCCTTCTTAGTTTTTAGGTTCACAGGGACACGCCTGGCGCGCTAGAGGAAACAGCCCCTGGCAGATGAAAGTGGGCTGGAACCGTACGTTTCGAGGTCCAATTCTTGCGCTTCTAGGACACAGCCTGTGCTCTGGCGGGAGGGAGATGAGAGGGACGGGAGCTCTGTACACCGGGATCCCCCCGTCACGGCTCGGGCTTCAGCGCACTTCGGCGCCAGACAGAGTCGCCTCTCCTCCAGAATCTCTTTCCAGAGGTGGCGGACCCCGAGTGCGGAGCAGCTTCTGGGCATCCACGCGTGCTCAGGGCCAGGACGGTAACCCAGGCAGTGCTGGCTAGTTCCTGGTGCGGGAGAGCCAGGGTCACCGACGCAAGCGAGCGATAACATGGGAGTGCCTGTGGCTGACCTCAGACCCTGGGTTCTGGAGTTCAGTAGAAGGGCCAGAGGTGGGCGGGGAGACGTCAAGAAAGTTATTTTACTGGGATCCAGACTCTCTGGGATTCCACCCCAATGCTCCTGATTCCGCTCTATAGTCACACATTTGTTTTAGAATGGATGGGAGTTTGGAGAAAGGCAAGCTGCAAAGTTGTCAGTTCTACCGCTCAGGTGGAGTTTGCAATCTAAAAGGAATCGGGGTTCTGACTGTTAAAAAAAAATCTGTCTTCACTGCTTAGGCCTTTTGGAGGGTACCAGTACCTTCTTAACTGCTCATATCAGGGGCTGACCTCTGGCTGACCCCCATCCCACCCTTCCCTGTGCCTTTCTGGAACACATGCTGAGTGGGTTCAGCACAGAAGGAGTCACTGGGTTTCCCCAGGCTTGAGTGGTCCTGGGAGTGGTACTCCCTGCCTTTGGTTTAGAGTAGCTGCTGAGTGATCCCTTCACATCTGTGGGACTGGATGCTGGCTTCAGTGGGTCTCTAAGTATTAGTACTGTTTCCCTCCAGAGGAGCTTCTGTGTACTTCTGCTATCTCCAGATTTGGTTTGCAAAACCAATCTGTTTTTGTTTGGGTGGTGGGGAGGGTTGTGATTCCTGAACTAGGGAGACAGTCACACAGATCCCCTCTGAAAAGCATAGTTGAAAGAGACTTTCCTCATATCCTCAGGCTTTGAGAACAGAAACTGGCCTCAGACCTCGGGTAACTTTGGCTTATGTGGGGAGGAGGAAGGGTGCAATCTTTGTCCAAAGGGAATGCACTTATCCAGTGCCATGGGTTAGTACAGGAGTAAGAGACACACATAAGTTTGCCTGTGCACCTGGAAACTTAGCAATTGTCAGTATGGGGTGACATTCTGGCCAGAATGTGGCCTCTTGGAGTAGAAGGGAACTGAGATCACACCCTAGGCCAAGAGATTCCAGGGCAGGAAGTTCCAGCAGTAGAGGAAGACCTGGAGGGAAAGTCCAGATAGGGCATTCCTGGGCTTTGCTGGCTTCCACCTTGGGCGCAGGGAGTGTGTGTTCCTGGTCTCAGGCTTTCCTAGTAGGCAAAGCTTGAGGAATCTCCATTACCACCAGTGATAGTTTTCAAAAAAAAAAAAAAAGAAACCAACATAATAGAGCCTCTGGCTGTCCAGACTGCTTAGGAACAGGGACTGGACAGTCAGATGGGATGGCACCTCCTAGGATGTATATATTCCATCTCTTGTTCTGAGCTCTTCACAGCTCAACTGTGCTTCTATGTTTCTACTTGTCTTTCTCTTCTAAAACAGTCCCTTGGCCAACATGTCTCAAGATTTCCAGAAAGCTCCAAGTCGCAGTGGGATCTCCAAAGAGTTATTGGCAAGAGAAGATTCCTGATCCTAAAGAAAGAAACAAGCAACCATGTTGGTTCACATTGCTTTTTCCAGGTTATCTTGAAAACTTGATCCTGAGTCAGGTCAAATCCTAGAACTTGGTAGATTTGGAAAAGGATGGGGAAGCAAGGTTGGCACTGGTCCTTCAGCCCTCCCCCCCAGGCCTCCCCCCCCCAGGAATTATAGCCACCTCTGCCTGGAGCTGGTCAGCAAGGCCAGACAGGACTAGGCAAGAGCTACTTGGGTGCTGGCATCAATTGGCTTCCACAGGGGTTCCCCTGTTTCAGATGCCTGGCTTTGAAGACTCCCTAAGTCGCTGACAAAGCAAAACTACAGAAAGCTGGGATAAAGGAATTCGAGAATTGCTAGGAGCTGAAAAGTCCTCCAACAAACTCAGCTTTCAAGAGTGTGGCCCTCAAACCCTGGCCTGGGTCTCCACTGGAAGCCAACCAGAGTTCTGGTTCCCTCTAGGCGCAACGGGTGTGGGGAAGCCCAGAAAGCGAAGGACCACCCCTAACCCCACCACTCTGTGCAAGGGGGATCTTCTCTCCATCCTATTTAAGATAAGTTGATCAGACTAAGCAGAGCCTAGGTCGCATTGTCCCGCCCGGACTCTGGCTTGTATGGATTGGGAAGGGCAGGACCCAGGACACCTAGGGCAATGAGGGCACTCGTTGCGAAGTCGGCTTTGTTTGGGACTCGCGAAGCGTCAGGCATTGAGTTTGATAAATGTCTTCTGTAGCTGGGAGCTAACCCTCGTGCCCACCCGGGAGCCCACCGAAGGTGGCAAAACTCCTGTATGGACGCGCATCTCATTCCTGGGAATCCAGCGCGCTCCACCACCCGCGGCTGCCGGCGACTGCGACCGCGCCCGGCGCGAGGTCTGCGGCGGCTCCTGCAGGCTCTCTCGCCCACTGCCCACAGGGTGGAGCCGCGGACCCCTGAGGGGTCCCAGGCTTGGCTGGAAGCAGATACCCCAGGGGAATGGTCCCCGTAGTAGAGGCCTCCAGGTCCGGGTCCAGCGCTCCTCCCCACGCCGCGGTTCCTGGTGGAGTCGGTCAAGGGAACGTTCCCGGGTTGGCCGGAGCCTCTGGGCTACTGACCGCACCGAACCCATCCCCGCAGGCAGCCCTCTCTGCAGTATCTTCCCGGGCGCGCCTAGGGTGGTGACTGTCTATACTCTTCTCCCTGCCCCAACCGCAACCCCTCTTCCGATTCCTGCTCCCTGGGAAAGAAAGCACCCAGCCAGTCTTCAGAATGAAAATTGAGCACGAGCAGCTTCTAGAAAATTAACTAGAATGTGGCCTATATTGTTTTGGACTTAAAAAGAAGAAGAGCCTTACCTCTCTGCACTCGTTCGTAACCCCCAAAATGGTCTCGTTCTTTTAAATGAAATTTACCTAGCACTTGAGAGTTTTTGCGTCCAACGCACCTTCCTCCTGTAACTATTCTGTGGACTATTGGGGGTCTGCTCATTAGACCCCCGCCCACCCTTACGCACGTAAGGGAGCTTTCAAATAACCGGGAGATTTAGGTGTCCCTCTGTATTCATTTAGATGATGGATTGTAATGGCTCAATAGTTCCTCTGGAACCATTACGGTCAATCAGGTCAAAATTCAGCTTAGGGGAGAAAGTGGTTAAGCAGGGGAGGTAGGTAATAGGACTTGCACACACATTTGTTCAGATAGCACCTCAGATAACGTGCAGGCAATCCAGGGTCCTTAGGAGACTAGAGACCAGGTGGACGCAAGAGCCAGCGTTCATTGTTGTGGCTGCAACAAATTACAGTACCAAAACTGAAAGGGAAAGTGAACTGTTTTCCCAGGCAGTTCCCGTTTCGTAAGTTCTTTATGAACACACAAATATCTTGTAACTATGTGTCTCCTTAATAAATGTAGCAATGCACACATACATTGATGCCCCTTTGGTTTGTAAAAATACTTTTAAAGTGAGGCAAGAAAAGACGAATGAAATTAAGTGAGCAGGCTACCCTCGGTAAAAGGAAACGAGGATACTGCTGGGTGGTTGAGAGGATCAAATGTAAAATATGTGCAAGAGGCGTGCTGGGTTTTTACCTTCTATACAAATCTGAGTTGTCAACCTATTTCGACACATATAGATCTGTGTTCTAAGATTACTGCACTTTTCATTTATCCTGGATGGAAATAAGTGTATTACAAACAACGCGGTGTCTAATAAACCGAGGATGTTGCAGGACAGTGGTTTGAACCCAATTGTGTGGTTAGGACGAGACCCCGCGGATAGAATCGCCCACCGCACTCGTGGCTCTGCGTCCCGGACTGGCGGCCTCGGCGGCGGCCAGCACAAGCAAAATGAGCGTTCGCGGTAATTAAACATTTCCAGGCACTGAAGGCTTATTATCTGCAGAGCGATTTCCGGCGAGGGGACTCGAACAAGTCTGGCTGCGAGGTTTCAAGAGGCTCCCGAACGCAATCCTAAAGAAAACGTGCCCCCTGCTGGCGAGCAAGCCACATCTCCCGGGGCCCCTTCCTCGAAAACTCGCAAATTCAGTGATCCTTATTTCATTTTACCTAAGAGTATTTTAGTGCTTTAACTTTTCTTTTCTCAATTGAGAAATTTACCTTTGCTGGTTTCAAACGACGCACAATCTTACCTTTCCAAAGAACAAACGGAGGAGGAGCTCCCTCTCGCCACGGGGCTTCTGTTTTCCAGCTCCAAACCAGAAGTCGTTGCTCTCAGATTTGTGAGGGGTTTTGTTTGTTTGTTTTTAAATAGCCCGCAATCCTTAGCAACTATCTGCCGCCATTCGCTTCTGGTCTCAGGAAAAAATGATGAGCAAATATCTCCTGGGAAAGTTTCCATGATCCCCGCGCTGGGCTGGCGTTGTTTCCCTCTCTGGCCGGGAGGTGAGAGGGGCCGGCTCTCCCACAGGCTCCCTCCCGCCCACCTCGCGGGGTCTGCACAGGGACCCGCACTCAGGGACGGAGAGAGGGCATCTGTTTCTGTGAATAAGTTT